AGTCCCCAGAGTCATTCGTCCTGCTGTTGAACAAGACTCCCTCTCCTCCTCTGGAAGCTAGTGGCTCCATGGCACTTCCCATACATGTGCTGTCTCTACCCATCTCAGTCCAAATGAGTTCGAAACACAAAACGAGCTGTTTCAGCTGGCCATCCCGAACACCGGGCAACGTAATGAGAGCGCTCCTGTCCTACCCTGTAATGCTCTGGCTATGACTGTTTAATTGCTATTATTTCTGTACCTCTGGCATGTACTAAAACTACACTTTAAAAATTAAACAGGGGTGCGGGTGTGCTCAGTGCCCCACACATCATCAACCAGATGTGATGGGGTCATCCCAGTACTTGGGAGGTGGAGGCAAGAGGTTCAGTTTGAAGCCTCTCTGCATAGTGTGATCAAGAGCAGACTAACGTGCACTGGGCGTTGTCTCAGTTTTATGATATCCACTTTGATCTTCAGGGCACTCTGTTCTTAAGCTGAGTTTCTCTATATCAGAAACACAAGAACATCAAAACCCATGAAAACCATGACCGTGAGAGAAAGGATAGGCGCTGAGTGGCAGCGACAGTCTTTGGCGCCAGCACTCAGAAGAAAGGTCATTCATTCCCTAACCCCGGGGACTTGTGCTCCAGCTCCGTCCTGGCACAAAGACCTGAAGACACCTCTTCTTACTTCATCACGAGATACGTGAAACCTCAAGTGTCCTTCCAAAGGTCCAGCTTCAGGCTGGAAGTGTGGGCATTTCCAAGGCGTGTTTCCTACCCTATGCATTCACAGACACTGCTGTTCACGCAGCCTTTCCCGTGCAGGCATTTCCAAGACCACACAATTTCAGCCAGGAGGACAAAGTTCAAGCCCTCATAGCACACCCCAAGACGATCATCCCGCCAACTGAAAAGCTTGCTAATTCCCGCTACCTCATTTGTCCGAGTCACTGCTTTGGCATGGAATGCCTTCATCCCTTCTTCATCCGCGCAGTTCGAATTCTTTGTAGAAAAGTTGCCGGCACAAAAACTTCATTTCAAATGTAAATATTAGTATGCAAGCCATCTCCCGCCTTTCAAATTGTAGGTAATCAGGTCTATGATGCAGCAGATTCTGCATGGTAGAGGCTCGGTAAATTTAGCAATACAGTCTAGCAGATGAACCATGTGCGTCCGCACCGCAGTCTTAGGAGGCAGGAAAGTACAAAGGGGTCTCCTCGGCGGGTCTCCCCAGTGTGGGTCAGTTAGCTGAGGTTTTCCTTGTCTGCTCACTTGCTTGTCTTGCTTTCTGCAGTCTGATTACGGGGCTACAGCTACACTAGTGCACACACTAGTGCACATCACTACACTAGTGCACACACTAGTGCACATCACTACACTAGTGCACACACTAGTGCACATCACTACACTAGTGCACACACTAGTGCACATCACTACGCTAGTGCACACACTAGTGCACATCACTACACTAGTGCACAGCTGGAGCCTTTTACTTTCTTCACACTTATTTGGGAGTGTGTGTGTGTGTGTGTGTGTGTGTGTGTGTGTGTGTCTGTGTCTGTGTGTAGGTCAGAGGATAAGTTACCAATACCTGCTTTCTCCTACCACATAGGTTCCAGAGTTCAAACTCAATCTGGACAGGCCGCAAATGCCTTCATCCACTGAGCCATCTTGCTGGTCCAGTTTTTTATTTTGTTTGCTTTTTCCTTTTGCGTCACAAAGTTTTGAAATAATATGACTACAGATGTTTTTTGTTTGTTTGTTTTTTTCCTAGAAGACCATGTCCCTCTTACCAGGTAGGGTACCTTACATGTAGTTAAGGGAGACAACCCGAAATAAATAGTCAATGTCCCAAGTAGAGGGCATATGCCTGTCCCATAAAGAGAAAGTGCCAGCCTGACCTCATGTCTCCGAGGACCTCCAGCGCGGCAGTCCTAGTGAGCAACTGTGCTTGCCACTCCGCTGTGTCCTCCCCAGCTAAATAGACGGCTGTGGAGTGTGACTAATGAGGGCCTGCGAGCTGACCTAATGAAACCCAATGAGCAGGGTCACTGGGGCCACCGAAGCATGAGTCTGCATCTCCCAAGGCGCTGTAACAGGATCTGCGCCCGCTCTGGAGGGAGGGTCAGGAGACTGTCCGGTAGCCAAGGACACTGCTGGGCTTCAGAATAACAGCACAGGGCTGTAATCGGGCACCATCCCGGGACATTTAGCTGGGTGATGGTCTCATCCATCTTTTATTCGTAACCACGGAAATGCTTTTTTTTTTTTTTTTCGCGGTTCTCTTTGCACTTTCCTGGTTCCACCTGCTTTCCTTCATGTGACAGAAGACGCATGCACTTGGCATAAGATATCTTGTCACTATGGATATGATCACCAGCCCTGGACTGGCACAGCAGGGTTGCTGGTGCTCCCTAAGCCAGCAAGAGCAACTGACATTGCAGGACAAGTGTTTAAGTTGTTCTCCGAACCCCCATTAAGAGTGAAGTTGAGAGAGATGTGGGGCAACCCTGGAATCTGAGGAGGCAGTAGACCTCACTGCCCAATGGGCCTCGTTGCCCCGTTGGCTCATTTTATTTGAGCCTTGAAGGAGATTGAAAAAGAATAAATTCGTTCAATGTCAGCATTTCCGTGGAAAATCCTTAGCCACGGTAAATCCTTCAAACCTACCAGGGACCCCAATCACAGAGAAAGCCCACCTCACCTCCACATCTCCTTTCCACGGCGGGCTAACTTCTCCTCTCAAGTCCAAACTGGGTAACAGAGATGTTGAGCTTTCATGAGACATATCTCAGTTCCTTCTGAGGTTTGCATTTTACTTCTTGTTCTGTCCTGGGCTCTGGCGTGTCGTTTGATACCTGGATGGCAGGTTTTATACCAAAGGAGAAAGTAACAAAAAGCACTGGTCTCCCTAGCTAGTCAGGCACAGTGAATCTCCCGGACCTCAATAACCTGTCCGTAAGGTGTTGGTAACAATAGTAATATATATTAACTGACGTCTTTATCACCATAGTTAAATGAACATTCGCTGTTGTTTGCGTCCCCTCTCTTTTGCATTTACTGGGGGATGAGCACACATGCCAAGGTACATATGCAGTGGCACAAGTGTGGAGGTCAGAAGAAACTTTATAGGTTGGTTCTCTCCTTTCACCTTTGCTTGGATTCTTGGGGTCATATTCAGGTTGCCAGACTCATACAGCAAGCACTCATTCCGCTGAGCCGTCCCACCGGTTCTGACAGTCTCTAGAGTTTAGCTATTTGTCGGAGGGGCTGCTTGTTGGTTCCCGGCTGCGCAGACCCGAAATACTCACACAGAAACTGTATTATTTAAATCATTGCTTGGCCCATTAGCTCTAGCTTCTTATTAACTAACTCTTGCATATTAATTTAACCCATTTCTATTAATCTGTATATTGCCACGTGGTTGTGGCTTACTGGGTAAAATTCCTAGCATCTGTCTCAGGTGGCTCCATAGCATCTCTCTAACTCTGCCTTCCTCCTCCCATACTATAAGCCAAGCCAGTTCTTTATTCATTAACCAATAAAAGCAGCACATAGACAGAACGACCTCCCACACCATTCACTATGTCGCATTATTTTTTTATAGAATGAGGGGAATGATGGGACCTGGGGAAATCTGTCTTTATTTCAACTCTAATAAAGACAAAAGAACACATGTTTTGTACAGCACATAATAACATTCAAGTTCCTAGATCAGTAATTTCCAAAGTGTGATCTGGGAAGCCCCTGCAGGTCACCAACACTCTGGGAGGGAATCGGTGTGGATAAAACTATTTTCAGCCTAATGTGACTGTGTTATTCTTTCATTTTCACTCTTTTCCGAAGTGCATGGAAATCCCCTCTGTTCTACCATTTTATTTCCACAGATTGCAGTTACACAGACTCACCCATAGTCCAAAAATATTAAGCAGAAGGTTGCAGGAACAAACAGTTCATAGATTTTTTTTTTAAATTGCACGCCATTCTGAATGAACGGTGTGCTATATCCTGAGCTTTATCTCTCCTGGGCTGTGCATCTGTGTGCTTGCCCTACCTGCCCCTCACTTACGAGCCAACCCAGTCCTCCGACCAACAGGCGCTGCATCCAACGCTTGTGCTCAGGGATGCCTTAATTTATGAATCTGCTTAACACACGAGTAGTGATGCTGGTAGTGTCACACTGTGTCTAAGAGAAGCTGTAAAATGTTCCCTTAAGTGAAAAATGAAAGCCTCGATTAATGAAAAAAGATGCTAAATTTTTAAAATATGGACAAGAATATGATTCAGGATAGGGTTAAGCATGGAAAAATCATGCTTGATGCTACCAAAGTTATGGCTGGATAGGCAAGACGGCTCAGCTCGTAAGAGCACTGGCCACACAAATCTGATGACCTGAGTTGGAGCCCTGGGACCCACGTGGTGGAGGGAGAGAATGACTCCCCACCAGAGGTCATTCTACAAGCATGCCATGGCACATGTGGGCCCACACTCTCACACAGGCAACACACAATTAAAAGATTAATTAAAAAGCAAGTTATAGCCACATAGCCAAGTACGGTAGCACAATCTTATAATCCCAAAATGGGAAGTAGAGAGAAAAGGACCAGAAGTTTAATTCATTCTAGGCAGTATTGCAAGTTTGAGGCAAGCCCAGAATACATGAGAGTCTGTTTCTAAATAAATAAATAAAGTGATAGCCACCTGGTTAGTACGTGTTTAGCTAAGGTGGAAAGGACATTACCATCTATGGTCTGGTGCTATCTGGGAATCCACTGGGGATCTTGGAATGTAGCTCCCAGTGATAAGGGGGGTAAGGGAATTTCCCAAAGGCTACTAGATATATGATGTCATCACTTTATCCTTAATGGAACACGTGCTCGTACATTCTTGCCTTTCACATTCCTCGGTTATCACTTGGGGTGTGTAAAATAGCAGCTGCCACGAGTTGCCTCTTAACTTTGAGACCGCCCACAATTCAGTCCTGCAGTTACTCTGTCTTTTTGTCACGTGCTTCAGGCTGTCCGGGTCAGAGTTCCCCGAGGAGGACTGGCTATGGAACTATGAGAAGCATGGCCACCGGCGCTCCGTGATGAGGAGAGTCAAGCGCTTCCTGAGTACCCACGAGCACCCCAGCAGCCCCAGGAGGAGGACTTTCGGCAGGCAGGCCAGCGACAGCTCCATGTTCTTCCCGCCCAGCCCAGCTCGGGATCTGCTGGATGTGCCTTCGAGAAATCCCCACCGAGCCTCTCCCACCCGGAAGCCATCCCACTCCCTAGAGGGCAGCCCCAAACTGCATTCCAGCATGGGCGAACTGTCCACCATCAGAGAGACCAGCCGCACCAGCACTTTGCAAAGCCTGACCCCGCAGTCCAGTGTGAGGGCCTCCCCTACCAAAATTCCCCAGGTCCCTGAGGTCCTGATCACAGCAGCTGAAGCACCACCGGGGTCCTCATCAGATAGCCATGACCATGACTCTGCTACCTCCATCTTGAGTCTCGAGTTCACTGGGGTGCAACCTAGCAGGACCGAGCCGCAGGTAGACCCCTCAGGGAAGGCGACGCCATCTGGGGACCGCAATCCCCAGGCTGTTTCAACCAGTACTGAAAGAGACTTGTTTACGTTTGAGGAAGATCCGTGTGATGACAGATTCCCCCAAAGTTGGAGCCTTCCAGAGTTACGGGAGTCCAGGCACACCTCCTTGGGAAACTTAGGTCCAGATCCTGTGAGTTCCGGAGCTGCTCCCTTACCCGACATGGAAACATCCTCAGAGACGAGCGTAATCCGTCCCAGGGCTAGCTCTGGGGTCTCTCCTGACATCCTGTTCTTAATGGAAAACTTGGACACGAAGGAAACAGACATCCTGGAGTTTAACAACGAGCACCCTGAAGGAGCACCTAAGGGAGCGCCTCAGCGTCCCAGGACCTGGTTCTAGCTCACCTTCCTCCTCTACACAGCTGTCAGTACCAGCTTGGGGACAGCCCCCAGGAGCAGGCCAGTGTTTAGAAACATAATCCTACTGTACAAGCTTAGAACTCTGAAGGGCATTATGGTCCTGCAAAACCCAAACGCAACCACATTGTCTAACGCAAAGGGGCTTTCACGGAACTTGTATGGCCCAAAATGAATTATCAAAACCAAATACGGGATCTCATATAAATGTATATGGCTTATACATCCATACATGATTAGCTGTGGAAAGGACCATACAGATCATAGTCTAATCCCTTAGAAGCAAAGGCCCAGACGCAAAGGGTCCCATTTCTTTCCTGGTTCCATCCCATACCTCTCTTCCTTTAGCTACAGAGACAAGGCTAGACCATGCCATGCCCAGAGACCCTTTCTGCTTAGAGCAGTTCAACCCAAGCTTCCTGCCCACCCCATCACACTTTCTGTAACTATTGTTGCCATCTTTCCTGAGCTCCTAAACATCCTCAGCATCAGAAAGTCCCGTTTCTCTTCCATTACTATTTCTCTTGTCTGGTCTTCATTTTTCTCTCTTCATCTTTATTCTCTGCCATCTTTCTTCTGCCCTTTTTCTTAGTCTAGCTTCACTAGTGACTCTAATCTGTCCCTCTTTCCAGGTTGCATAAATTTTCTCCTTTCAACTCTGTTGCTTACTCACTGTCATGGTGTTCAAACTATGAGACACTGGTAAAGCCCGGTACAGGAATCTAACGCACCCACCCTCCCACCCTCCCAGCCTTGCAGAAAGAGGTGTGTGTGCCGATGGTATCCAGCATCTCAAACGTGCTGCTTCCGCTCTTTCATCTTGGACACTAGAGAAGACTGAATCTAAGAGGATCTGAAATCCGCATAGCCAACTGCTGCATCCCCAAAGGATGACGTGGTTTCGTTCTGCTGAACTCATACACAGTCTTAAGCAAAAACATCCCAATTGTGCCACAGCGTGGGACCAGGTACTGAGTCTGTTGGGTTGTTTTATATGACGTAGGATGTTAGAGCTGTGTGGACTTCAGGGTCCATGACCGCATGATGACCACAGACTGTTGCCAGCTTCCTTTCAGAAGTTCTTACATTATGTTTTGCAAGCTCCCGGCTTTGGAAAGTGTTGCCTTTCTGGGTGCCATCTTTCCCATGTGTCATATAATGGAACTTGATGTGTGGCTTGGTTGGCTGTCTCAACGCTCCACGCAGCCGTATCTGAAGTTCACATGTGAGCTCTCAATCCTTGAAGGATTCCCATGGGACCGACATACCCTTGGCACCAATAGAAGCAATGGAGAACTCGCTTTCCCGAACTCACATAGCTGGGCTCACACTTCCTCACCATGCCGCTGTAGGGCCATGAATCTGCTAGCGATTTGCCCCAAATTCTGGGGAATGCTCCAAGGCGGCTAGTCACAGGTTTGTGCCGAACCTCTTCAGCCTCGGAGACCTATCTGAATTCTCTCTGCCCAAAACAGAGGAGAGCAGAGCTTTATGTCTTGGAGCCCTTACCATGGTCCTCTCCTTTCACTGTGGAAGCTGGCGGGAGCCTCTTTTTCCTTCCCCGACTTTGGAGTCCTGGTGTGTTGGGTTGTAGTGACCACATTAACACAAGACCTCACTCAGTTCTCAGCAGGGCCTTTTCTTCAAGGACTAAAATGGTTTGCTATTAGAAGACGTGCTACACGTGATTGGTTCTCTATGTTGGTCCATACCGTTAGCGCCCAAGAAAGGACTGTAATCCCCAAATCATCACAGACAGACAGACAGACACAAGCCCCATGGTGTTTCTAAAAGACCAGAGTCCCGACCTTTTCCCAGTCACTATTGTCTTCGGCCACTTTTCTTGAGTGCTTCAATATAAGTCCCTCCATCTGCTTCTTTGGCTCTATTGCTCAAGTATAAATAAGTTTCTACTTAGCTGTCTTTGAAGCATAATCAGTTTTCATTCTTAAATCCTAAGTTGTCAACTTTACATAATAGAAGAGTTTTATGGAGAAATGGGAAGGTGTTCATTTATCTATTCCTGTGCATCTCTTATCCGCCTTCATTCTGGAGAATTTTCTAAGTTCCTCACTATTTCTTCAAATTTTGGGATGGCCTCCCATTTTTTCTCCTCACTCTGAAAACTGAATCATGACTTGCTCAAAGAGCCCAAATGAGGAGATTTTTTTCCATTCTAGAATGAATCTTTATCCTGCATGGCCAAGGCTGCAAAAATAAAAGAATTTATTCTCTTGTGCCTGATTTTTCGCCTGCCTGGATCGTTTTCTCCTGAGTTCTAGAAAATCCTTTCATACAAACAGCCATTTGTCTCTGTGGCATTGTCTTCAGGGTTTGACCAATCCAAGAACAGGCTTATCCTGGTCGTGTGTTAATCTAATCTGCAAGGCAGGGTGAACAGTGAGGCCTAGTCCTTGTGTTTTTCCTCCCTGCTCCTACAGAAAGCTCTGCCCTGACTCTGGGGTTCAGTTTTAATGCAGTTAAAGCTCACCAACTGTTCTTCTCCTGTCCAAGCGTTTAGAACTGCCTAGCCCCTGGTTTTCCTCTCCCCTTCTTTCTTGTCCTATCTAGCCAGTCCATTGCTTCCATTACTCCAGGCATTCACTTTCAGCCTTTGTTTAGCCAAGTGATAGAAAACATAAAAATGTTTTCTTTATCACTATAACATGAAATGGAGAAATATAAAATTTACCATCAGTACAAAGAAAAATCTATGAATTGCCACTGAGTAGCTTCAAAAGCCCGAACAAAGCCAGGTGTGGTGGCACATGCCAGTACTCCCAGCACTCAAGAGGCCGAGACAGGATTGAAAGGTCAAAGTCAACCAGGTCTACACGATGTGTTCATGACCAGCTGGGGCTACATAGCAAGATCTTACCTCTAAAATCCAAACCAAAACAAGCAAACAGTAACAAAACCAAAACTTTGAAAAAGGAAAAGGTAGGCATGCAGGCAGGAAATTAAACAGATACATGTCCTTTCAACCATCATTTACAAAATGAACTGCTCTCTAGAAGGTTTTCTAGTTTTTATTAGAGTCAAAGAGAAAAGTCGGGAACCTCAGATTGTTCTGTGTGACCAATAAGCATGACTGTTTGGTTTGTTTGTTTTTTGACTGAATCATCCCAGGCAGGTACCTCAAGTTTTTTCATATCTTTTTCTTAGTTTTGTGAACCGAATTTTTAGGATAGTTTTCCCATTGATATAGCCACTGAATTAAAAGAACCAATTGAACAATACCGAGATTCTTTGACTTCAAGTCTTATCAAAATTCAAAAGACCCCCAATCTACTGACAAAGCTTCAGAACTGTAATCCATCTTGAATCCTTCACCACGTTCTGAGCCTCCCTCCAGCATCCCCAAATGTACAGTCAGCACATCCCTGCCTGTGGCAAATAGAAAATGAAGGAGATTCCCTACAAACACTCAGTTGACTCAGACCAGAGATTAAATTTTTGTTTGACCTTCTTTGTTTCCTAATTAGTTTAGAAAATGGGCCCAACTCAGCCCCATGCCCAAGGTTGGTTCAGCCTGATAGTTCCATGGAACCTTCTCTCAGCTTCTATTTTGCTTAAGAGAGATGGCACAGGGAAAATACACCTTGTGTTGTAAACACAAACAAGACATTTCTAAAGTTGATTTTGTGCAAAAATATTGTCCTGTTCTAAGTTCTTTGTCTAGGTTAGTAACTCTCAACCAGATGTGATCTTGTACCCAGGATGCACTGGGCAGTGTTGAGAGACATTTTTGTTCATCATACCACAAGTGTTACTGGCATTTAGTGGCAGAGGACAGAGATGTCGCTGAATACCCTGAGACACACAGGACAGACTCCACAGATGTCTGACCCCAAACACCCAGGCATAAAAACCTGATTTAGGCTAAAAGAAGGTACAGATTAAAAAACAAACAAACAATAAAAACCATTAAAGAGATTATAGTGATTGGGGAGGAGCTAGAGAAAGAATAGAAGTTGAGAGAACAAATAGACATTGGATTTGATCCCCAAGCTCACTCGAATAATTCTGTGGATGGCTATGTAGGAGAGCATTTAAACGCCATGTTCTTAGTAGGCCAAATATTAGTTAAGAATTTGTCCTAAGAAACTGCCAGATCATTAACAGACAAATGTCCCAGCCCCCTGCCCCAGTTTTTATAGCTCTTATCTAGATATATTTGTTTTTCACCTTTTTTTTTATGGAAAGGGATTTGTAGAAGAAGCTCGGTCCAGTGGATAGGATAGTATCTGTTTACCTCCCAACGGAAAATAAATGCAAGGATTTCCCCAGCACTTGCAAGAGAATAACATGGGATGTCCTGAATGATGTCAGCAGCTGCCCTTCCTCTCATAGTCACCCCTGCAGCATTAGGCACCAATACTGAGCATCCAAAGCCCAGGAAGCCCACCTCCCAAACCCCTCACTGATGCACCACCCTCTTCTCAGGGTCTCAGTAAATAGCATATGTGTTCACAAGTATATCCGTGTGTTTCCTTCTCCCCAGTCCTGTTTGGCCCTGGTGTCAGTTGGCTCAGTGTACAGACCTTTATTCGCTTACATTGTTTGTTTTTTTTTTAAGACAGGGTTCCTCTTGTAGCCCCGGCGATCCTGAAACTCTGAGGCCAGGTTGGCCTCAAAGTCAGAGATCCTCCTGAGTGCTGGGATTAAAGTCATGCACCACTACTGCCCAGCTGCTTATGTTCTTGTGAAAGCATCTATTAATGTCCTGTGCGCAAGTGTTTTGTGAGGCCAGTGAGTAAAACTATGTTACCTCACGCATGTTACCAGGAAACTACATCTCAAGCTCTTGGTCATCTGAGACAGTATCTTATACGTAGCCCAGAGTTGCCTCAAACTCAAAGCTTTGCCACCACTTCCTAAATGCTGGGATTATAGGTATTGTACTCTCCCTGGCTCAAGGACAGTGGGAACCATCCAAGACACAGGCCATCCTGTCTGGGCCTGTTGGCAGCTGGCCTTGCAGAGACATCGGGTCAAAGACAACCCAGGAACAGCAGTCGTGGGTGCATCACTTTGACTAGGGAAACTTGAGTCTTTTCACTTAAGTTAGCTGGGCCACAGTTGGTGTTCATGGTACCCAGCAGGTTGGCTGTCTCTTGTCATGGACCAGGGCAGCCAGGAGCCACCGTGCTATTTACAAACCCATCACTCTGAAGTCAGTTCTAGAGCACCTGGCACTGAAAACAGGGACAACTCCAAAGAGCGGACATGAAATGCCGGGGGACTTTTGAAGCCAGCCCTACTTTCCTAAGCTATTGCTCAGGTCGGTACACAAAGGGAGAACAAACAGCTAAGCTAAGGCTGGTAAGGGATTTTGTAGGGAGAGATACTTGGAAAGAAAAGCCCTGACCCACTCACTACTTAGAAAACAGCTTCTAAAAGAGGTGGGAGACCAGAGGTTGGTGAAGAGACCGAATGCCACCAAGTACCAAACGCAAGAAGAGGCAGGCCTATGCCTGTGTTTGAGCTCTCTCTTGATGGGCTCTGGCTTAGTGTGGAGCCAACAGAAGTCCAATCACTGTCCTCGGAATTATTCCAAGGGCTGCTCAGAAAGCTAATGGTATTCTAGATCAAAACACAGAAATCTCCACATCCGCTTGGTAAATTTATCTTCAGCCTGCTCATCAGGGCCCTGAGATTTGGCCTCCAGCCTCCAGACAATTCTCTGTAGCGGTCCGCCTTCCATTACCCAAAGTGAAAGTCACCTAGCCATGCAATTTTTGCACGCCCCACTCTGCTGCATCCCAGAGAAACACGCAATACAATTCAGATACAGACAAACTCTGAGACTCCTTGGCTCTCCAGAGTCACAGGGGACATCCAGAACACAAGCACAGAGTGCACAGTCCCATCCCTTGTGTCTTCCATAATCTAAACCAGCTACCAGAATTTGCATGGGCAACTCCACCGTCCTGTACGTAACATGAATGGGACACTGAGGGTCTAGTCTAGAAAAGCATGAGGGAAAGACAAAAGTGACGTCATAGACCATAATACAAACAGCATGGTAGTGCTAAGTACATGGGCCAGGTGGAGTGTCAAATGAAGGCCTCTTAAGTAAAGGTTTTTTGGGTTGTTGTGGATACCAGGAAATGTAGATGGAGACTGCACCTTCATTTCCAAGCCATCCAGACCTGAATAATCACACAAAAACTGTATTAATTGCAACACGGTTTGACCAACAGCTTAGGCTTATTATTAACTAGCTCTTACAACTTGAATTAACCCATAATTCTTGTCTATGTTTAGCCTCATAGCTTGGAACCTTTTCTCAGTGAAACATTCTCATTTTGCTTCCTCTGCATCTGGCTGGTGACTGTGTCTCTGCCTTTCCTATTCCCCGAATTCTTAGTCTCGTCACCTTGCCCATACTTCCTGCCTGGTTACTGGCCAGTCAATGTTTTGTTAAACCAATACAAGTGACAAATCTTTACAATGTATAAGAGCATTGTCCCACACATTTCCCCCTTTTTTTTCTTTTCAGAACGAGAACTCTGAACCTAATCTCCTTTGTTTAGCTTTCTTACTGATAATTATCCATAACAACTTGTAACCAACACACTAAACAAAGACAAACATCTATAGTTCACTTTTTGGGAATGTGGATGTAGTCTTCTAAGCTACTTCCTGTTTATTGGGGCACGAGTAAGCTTATGAAGACCCAAACAAAATTATGGTCAAGTCTTGACTGGAGTGTTCTGTGAGGCTGGATCATCTCTGTCAGCAGTCTTGAAACTGTTCTGGATGCAGAGCTCATAGGAATCTGCAACAGAGGTGCTCCGAAAGTTGCACCATCAGGGCCATCCATTCCCACTGGAGATTTTTCAGGGGATCTTGCTCAATGAAACCTTATTTTTTCTTAATCCAGAATGAATCCACAGCTTCTCATTTTCCTGTGGAAACAAAAGCAAAACCTCTTCTCCAAAACAACATATCTTTTGACTTAAATTTGAAGTCACAGCATTTTCAAAATATATAGGTTGGATTAATTCTGCAGCATTTATAATCAAATGTCTTTTAGCAGCTGTTAATCCTTCCTCAGCAGTCAAACAATTCAAAGACAATACAATAACATACAGTATCCAGACTGTGTGTTTTTCATTTTTCATGGTTTTTTTTCTTACTCTATTTCTTTTTATTTTTAATTTTCGGCTTTTTTTTGAGGTAGGTTTTTTTTCTGTGTGTCTTTGGGTGTCCTGTATCTCACTTTGTAGACCAGGCTG